CCCTCAATTAGTTCCAGTAGTTTTTTGATTGAATCTCTTGGGTTTTCTAGGTATAGGATCATATCATCAGCAAATAGGGATAGTTTGACTTCTGCAGGAAGGAAATTTTTAATGAATAGCATTTTCTCTGTTTAAAAATTTCCTCCCATAATTTTTTTTTTTGCAGTTTTGCTGTAAATTGATACTTAATCTGAACAGACAAATAGTCAACAATTATTAATGTAAATTTAAGAATAGCTGATATTAAGACTGTCAGCTTATGCTTTGTGGACCTATTCTTATGGTTGTCATTTTATAATATACAACCACAGATGCCTTTATCTTCATTCCTAGTTCAAATAAAAACTTTGAATGAATATTTTTCTATATTTTGTGGTGTCCATATGCTTTGAAGTAAAAAAATCTCTTTGGTGGTGGTTGTTTCAATAGAGATTAACAACTTTCCCCATATCAGAGTGAAAGATAAAGAATACAGTTGCAAGTGGAGAGGAAGAAAAGTGGTAGTAATTAAATTGAGATTATTACCTACACTAAAGTAACTTTAAAGATAATTCAAGGTGAGTAACTCTGCCTTCCATATATATTCAAGAAGAAGGCAATGGAATTTGGTAGATAAGAGTGTGGGCTCTGAAGCCAGCCTACTTTGTTTGAATCCTGGTTTCACTGCTCCCAAGTTAAATAACCTTGATCAAATTATTTAGTCTTCCAGGGCCATTTTTTTGATCTATAAAATTGGAGTAGTTCTTACCTCAAAGGGCAGTTAAGAAAATTAAGTGATAAGCTTCATGAAAAGATAGAATACCACTTGCCTCTTACCAACACAATAGTAATAATAATAATTAATAATAAATAGTATTATAATAGTAGTAATAATAACAGACTAAATGTAGCTATTATTACTCAAAATCATCTTCTTGTCTATGAATGTGTTTTTGTATTCATCAAAGTATACTAACCTCTTTTACTGCTCCTATAACTAAGACTCAATGAGTATTAACAATTTGGAACTAGCTTAGGAACTTCACCTAGAAATTATATACATAGAGTTGTGTGATCGCAGGTAGATAACAGAAGACACAGAAACTTCATATGGGCTATATGAACATGGGCTTCTACTTGCCACTGTAGAAATTTACCATTTGATGTATTAGTTTCCGGATGAGCCAGGTAATCTTATTGGTAAAGATCTAAAATTGATGGTGCTTTTACTTGGAGCTTTCAGAATTTGCTAGCTTAAGCAGAACTTGGAATCTTCTAATTTCTGATGATCCAGGAATTCTGTTAGATATCTGCAGACCATGGTGAATATCTAGTGACTCCTATATAGGAGGAAGTCCTGGGTGGTGCAAACAATTAACATGCTCAGCTGCTAACCTAGAGGTTGGAAGTTTGAGTTTACCTAGAGGACCCTTGGAAGAGAGGCTAGGTGATCTACTTCCAAAAAATTAGCCATTTCAAACACTATGGAGCATGGTCCTACTCTGACACACATGGGGTTACTGTGAGTCAGAATTGGCTTGACAGCAGCTGGTCCTGGTACTGGTCTCTATAGGAGATGTGATCCACACAGCCATGAGCTAGGAGAGTCTAGTACAATCTTATCTATTTCTGCTTATCCAGACTTCCTTTGATCAAACCCAAATTACTCATATTATAAGGATAGTTCCAGTTTTAATAGTATCTGCCTTCCTCTCCCCCCTCACTCCGCTCCTGCTAGAGTAGGAGAGAAAATACATGTGGACCTTAACAGGTCCTCCCAGGTGTAGGTGCATATGTGTGAGTATCTGGATGAATCCCAAATCCAACTTTTATAGTGTCTTAAAGCAGCTGGTAGCCATGGGAAATGGTGAACAAGACCAGTTTGAAGTTTAAGACATTTTTATTTGATTTTTCATTTAGCAACTTGAGGAGATGGATATGATAAGCCCATTCATATTTGGAGCTTTCTCTGGGATTTCTGAGAAGCATTTTGTTGTTCAAATTTTTTTTTCCCTTAAATTATCTTCTTACCTTCTGCCCTTTATTTTTTTGGTACTAATTTTGATGTTTTTTGAAACTGTAATAAAATAGCCATTTTTGGCACATCTCTAACAAAAATGTGTTGCAATCTCTTGTCAACATTATGTGTGGGAGTGGAGTGGAGGGATATGTTTGTGATTGATGTGTGTTTTGTTGAAACTTCAATGACAATGATGGTTGGCTTTTTAGACCTCGGAAATATGAATCTATTTGTCTCCCTTCAGAAAGTAGGGAAAATGATTTCTCTGTCACTTTTGTCCTCTTGAGGTTACTTTCCCTTGAAACAAACATTTACACTTAGAAAAACACTTTTTAAGTTCACCAGAAATTGAGGTGGATACCCAGGACCGAATGCCAGGACGATTTTGATCTCAGGGAGGCCACTGGCGTTGACCTCAAAGCTTGGCATCACCAGGACAGGGAGTTGCCTCCTTGGAGCTGAGAATGGAAGACATGCTGTAATAAGACTCTGTCGTAACTCCCGAGATAAATCTGACTTCCAAAAGCTATCTTTCCAAAGTAGTGAAAAAAAAAACTGGTCTTGGTGTATTTTAATGAGGAATGATACAGTATGACTTTTCCATTCCTTCTTACCTATAACTTTTTTTTCCCCCCAATTTAACATAGGCTAACCGCCCTCCTGCAAAGCTCAACCTATTAACCTGCCAAGTGAAGACCAACCCTGAGGAGAAAAAGTGTTTTGACCTTATTTCACGTAAGTTCCTTTCTGAGGTGCTGTGCCATAGAGAAATTATTTTAAACTCTTCTGGGCATCAGTCTCATTTCAAACAGTGCATTTTGAAGAATCAATTTTTAAGGAGACTATTTTTTAGTTATTTTTTTGCAAGTGACATATGTGTCTTCCATTTCCATTAGTAATTGTTTACTTGCCAGTCTTCAGTTTAAGATATGACTTTGAGGACCAGCCCTGCTTCTTACTGGCTATGTAAACTAAAGTACAGTTTACAGTATCTGAATCTGAGTCTGTGTCTCAGTTTTCTCATTTGTGAACAATGAGATTATACTAGTTAATCCCTAAAGCCTAAAATCCCTTCTGCTTTTAAAAAATGCAAGATTCTATTTTTAAATTCTTCCATAATTTGGGTGATACTGGAAATGCTAAAGAACTAAACTAATAAGGTCTCAGTATAATCTTTAAAACTTTATTTATTTTTTTTAATTATCTTCTCTATCACATAATTAAGCTTTCTGATTCTGTGTGCTTTTTTTGAAAAAATATTTTTCTGCCATACACAGAGAATAACCACTAAACCATTTATTGTGGCAAATATTTGCCCATAACCCCCTAACAAAAGGAAACCACTATTCAAGTCACTGCTGTTGAGTCGGATCCGACTCATAGTGACCGCTTATTGGGTTTCTAAGGCAATATCATTAGGGAAGTAGATTGCCTAATCTTCCTTCGAAGGATTAGCTGGTGGGTTTGAACCACCAGCCTTCTGGTTAGCAGTCAGATACCTTAGGCACTATGCCACCAGAGCTCCCAACAAAAGGAAAAGGGCTTTTGCTATCTTAAAATAAGATCAACCCTTTGTTCTTAGCAGTTTTATGTGGCAGGACTACATTTTAGGGGGAAGGAAAGAGACTAGTTTCCCTTTCCAAAAGGAAGTCACTAGGAATTTGGTCACAACAGTTAGATTTATAAAGAAAAATACTGTGCATTTTAGGAAGATGGATCTTCTCTTATTCGTCTCAGTAATCTTGAGTAGGGGGTGACTAGTTTTTTAAATTTTTTGTTGAATTACATTTTTGAGGGCCAGGAACTAATTTATTGTATACTTCAATGCTCACAGCCAATCTGTGAAGTAATTATCATCATCTCCGTTTTACTGGGTGAATTGGGACTGAAGATCACATGGGTTTTCATTGTGTTTTCTCCAGTTCCCTTTTCTAATATATACTATCTTCAGCTATGTTGTTGTTGTTGTTATGTGCCGTGAGTCAGTCCCGACTCATAGCGACCCCTCCTTGGGTTTCCGAGGCAGTATCACTATGGAAGTGGGATTGCCTAACCTTCTTCCGAGGAGCGGCCAGTGGGTTTGAACCACCAGCCTTCTGGTTAGCAGTCAAGCACCTTAGGCACTATGCTACCAGAGCTCCTATCTTCAGCTATAGGGGAGTGTTTTGGTTACCTGGTGCCATTCTAACAGAAATGCCACAAGTTGGTGGTCTGAACAAACAGAAGTTTATTTTCTTACAGTTTTGGAGGCTAGAAGTCTGAGTTCAAAGTACGAAGCTCTAGGGGCTGGGTCAAAGCCTCTCGATCTTGGGCTTCAGCTCTGCCACTTGCTCCTACCCCATGGAAGCTGGAGGCTTCTCTTAACTCAGACAGCTGCTGGCTGCTGAGGCTGACAAGCCCAAGGTCGACAAGTAAAATGGCACAGTCCCCAAATTATCAGATAATATGGCAGGCCACTAGTTCCAGTCCACAGACAGTCCTGAGGTTGGCAGGAAACATGGCAGGCTGCTGAAGACTCAGCTACATGCAGGGTCCAAGCATGCCAGAAAGCTCAGAGACCTTTCTCAAAGTTGTCTTCTTATATACTGGAAGCAGACCATATCCCTAAGGCAGCTACTCAGCTGCTCCAGTAGATGCCACTGTGCAGTTGATTACCAGTCTTATCATGTGGAATAACTACATCCAACTGTCCAGCCACTCAAAAACAGGTCCAGCCAAGTTGACACACAGCCTTAACTATCACAGGGAGTTTGAGCAGTATTGTGGAAAGGATTTGAGTATTGCTCGTTCTGTTGTTTAGACTCTAGATTGATTTATAAAACAAAAATTGTCTTTTTCATGCTTCTAACCTTTACCCCTAGTCATTCTGCTAAGATCCACAGACTCATTTATCCTTTTACATCAAAGCTTGCTCTCAGATCCTTTATTCATGCAAGATTTTATAAAATGTTGAGAAGCAGTGTCTAGGGAAAGTTTGGAAAGGTTTAAGCCTTTCCTTTTTCTGAAATAACCTTTAATAAACAATGTGTTACTCTAGTAGTAAAACTGCCCTTTAGTAAGTAATTAGCACTTAATAGTTAACTAAGCCTGACAGTTTTGCAGGGCTTGAAACTGGTTCATTCCAGTTTAACCTCTTGCTGAGAATTTGCCTTTCCACCCCAGATTTACTGAATCAGAATCTATATTTTATAAGATCTTTAAGAATCACCTGGGGATCTTGTTAAAATGTGAGTTTGGAATGAACCTCCTTGAAGCTCTGCTATTTTGTACGCCATGTGGAGTTAGATGCAGACACTTCCCTTAGATTATCATCCAGTCACCTCCAGCAACCACTTGTAGATTAGATTAGATACCTTATGTACAGAAGCATTTTTTTTTCAAACTTGTGAACATCTCCAAACTATTTCCCAACCCATACATTTTTTTTCCTTCTGATTTAGTTTTGTTGTTGAAAATACTCATGGGATGACATTTACCAATTCAGCCATTTCTACATGTACAATTCATTGACATGGATTATATTGTTTAAGTTGTGCAACCATTCTCATCCTCCTTTTCCAATGTTCTCCTTTCCATTAACATAACTCACTGTCCCATAAATTTCCTAACTAATCTTTTGAATTGCTATTGTCAGTTTGATGCCATATAGATAGTTCTCAAAGAGCCGAAAGCTTAAGGCAGACAGTGTTTACTAATTATTGTTGTTAGATGCCATCAAGCCAATTCCAACTCATAGCAACACTATGTACATTGCAATGAAACACTGCCTGATCTTGTGCCATCCTCACAATTGTTGCTATGCTTGAGCCCATTGTTGTAGCCACTGTGTCAGTCTATCTCATTGAGGGTCTTCCTCTTCTTCATAGACCCTTACTTTACCAAACAAGATGTCCTTTTCCAGGGATAGGTCCCTCCTGTTAACGTGACCAAAGTTCAAAAAGATAAAGTCATGCCATCCTTGCTTCCAAGAAGCATTCCAGCTGTACTTGTTCCAAAACAGATTTGTTTGTTCTTCTGGTAGTCCATGCTATATTCTTTATTCTTGACCAACACCAAAATACAGAGGCATAAGTTCTTGGGTCTTCCTTATTCGTTGTCCAGCTTTCACAAGCATATGAGGCAATTGAAAATCCTATGGCTTGGGTCAGGCACACTGTAGTCTTCAAAGTGACATCTTTGCTTTTTAACACTTTAAAGAGGTCTTTTGCAGCAGATTTGCCCAGTGCAGTATCTCCTTTATTTCTTGACTATTGCTTTCATGGGCACTGATTGTGGATCTAAGTAAAATGAAATCCTTGGCAACTTCAGTCTTTTCTAATTAAGTAAACTATTTGTTTGCTTTAAAGAAAGACTTCAGGTTTTTGGTTTAAGGTTTAAAGATTATCTACAGCAATAGTTTCAGCGATTCTTCTAGCCTCAGGGGCTCCAGAAAGTCTGGATACCATGGGAATTTTAAATTATGTTCTTCATTTTCTCCCTTTACATCAGGATTCTTCTATAGAATCTTTAATCAAAACATTCGGTAGTGGTGGTCAAGCTCCAAACTTCACATTTTTAGTCCCCAAGGAGGACAGGTAGATAGTAAATGTGCATCACTTGAGTTCTCTTTTTTAACCAAGAAATATAAATGATCACATTCCTTAAATGTGTGAGATACTGGTTCTGTATAAATCTGGTTACATGTAAGCATTGTAGCAAACTGACATTAATCCAAGATTCTGTTTATACTTAAAGCTAATAAATAACCTTTAGGTAATACCTTTTAGAGTAGGATATCCAGAAGGGCCTCCTTTGTGTGGTTTGAGCCATCATTGTAAATTTGCCAGTATTTACTATCATTTTTGGGATATGCTGTTATCTTTCCTCCTTCCCTGCTTATCCCTCCATGGGTAAAACAATCCCACTCCTACAAATTACCCTCCTTAGTTAGCTTTTGAAAGGTGTTACTCCTTTAGGAGTATTAGTTGTAAAAAATGCTTTGTTGCAGTTCTGTATAGGTTTGAGTTATAGGGGATACTTGAAAACCTGTTAAACACCCCAAAGAATCTTAAAGGGAAGCATTGCATCACTATGCAAAAGCCTTAATGTGGTGAGCATCCTATCAAATTGGGAGACTTGGGTTCAGGATCTCGTTCTGACTGATTGATGAGAAAATTTCTTTACCTTTCCCAGTACATAGATCCTTCCTCTTCTACTGCAGGCTAGTGGAGCAAATGATCACCAAGATCTCTTCAGGTTCTTAAAGCATTTGTGTGAGTGGGGAAATAAAACTCAGTCTACACAATAGACAGTGAGAATGACGTTTCAGGTATGGACGTACCAGGTATCCCGGGAATTGCCTGTCCCTTCTAATCTTCACTTTGTAAAGCCATCCCTGAGATCTTCCTAGAGAGCCCAGAGGAGTAACAGACTGACGAGCTTACTTCAGGTATGGCCCTGTAATGTCCTTCTTTTTACCATTCCTCCTCTCAAATAGAGTTTGCCCAGTCTGATCAACAGGACAAGCTTAAGGCATACATTCCCAGGGCTCCAGAGTTTCTGTGGCAAGGCCAGCATTTCTGGGTGCTTAGTCCATTCTGTTGCCTTCAGACTGGTCCTATTCTTTGCAAATTCAAGTCCTGAGCCATTATCCTAGAATCACACAGTCGTTATAAGATGGGATGGAAGGTACATGAGAATTTTGAAGATAATGTAGGTTAGTGCCCAGAGTAGGATGGAGCCCAAAGAATTGTGACTATTCCAGGTCCACCCAGCAAGTTAGTGGCCAGTTTGGAGCCAGAGCCTTGGTCTTGGAGGAGCAGCCTTTCCCAAACCATCATCACATTGGTGGTCCTGATCATCTCTACTATCTCCTCTTGCTTTTGTTCTCCCTCATAGTTGAATCTGGGTAGAAACTTATTTATAGGTTTCTTGAGAGTCTGTAATGCAGGAAGTTCTTATTTGGAGGTTTTCACAGAAGCTTGTCCATTGCTTCTGCAATTTTCCCTCACTAGTATACAGAATTAGCCAGAGGACATGGGTTGCTCCCCCCTGTCACCTTGATTTTTCTACTTGAACTATGCCTGGTCTGACCATGAAGTAGCTCAGTGTTAGATACAAGCTTTTGGCAGTACCTGCCATCATCACCACTTCCTAAGTACTCTGTAATCCACTTAGCAAACCTTCCAGGTGAGGAGTCTAAAGCATGAGTGGGACTTGAGTGATGTAGCTGCTCACTCCTGGGCCCTCCTTCAGATGAAGCTTTGTACATTAGGTCAGTACTTGGAAGCAGGAGAAAGTAATGGTGGTCTTCTCCTTCCAAAACCTGGAGAGGAATTTCTTTGTATAATTGAGCTGGCTCAGTCACTATTTGAATCGCAGAATTGAGTTTATTTTTCTGACCTTGAAATAATTCTTTTAAACTCTGTTTCTGTCTTCAATAACAGGATAAGGATAGAGAGGACTATTCCCTTGGTACTTAAAAAAAGAATGATGGGTGTTATAATAGCAAGAGTATTGGACCAGGAGTCAGGACAACTGAATTTTCTGCCACTGGCTACATTCATTTTTGTCACTTAACCCCATTAGGCCTCTTCCTCAACCCAGTCAGCTCACCAAAAATAGTTGTAGGAATCGCGTGCATAGGGAAGGGCAATGTACCAAAAATGAGTGATCAACATGGTGGCATCGAGGAAGAAGAAGACATAGAGAAAAAAACAAACAAACAAACTCACTGCCATCAAGTTGATTCCAACTCATAGCGCCCTCCTTTAGCTTTCTGAGGTGGTAAATCTTTACAGAAGTAGATTTCCCAGTCTTCCTTCCGTGAAGTGGCTAGTGGGTTTGAACTGTCAGCCTTCTGGTTAGCAGTCAAATACCTTAGGCATTATGCCACCAGAGAGGTACATGGAAAAAAAAGAAAAAAGGGGAAGAAAAAAAGAAGGAATCAAAGTGCTTTCAGGGAGCTAGTGGCTAAGGCATTTGACTGCTAACCAGAAGGCTGATGGTTCAAACCCACCAGCCACTCCTCGGAAGGAAGATTGGGCAATCTACTTCCGTAGTGATACTGCCTGGGAAACCCAAGGAGGGGTCGCTATGAGTCGGGTCCAACTCGATGGCACATAACAATAACAACAACAACTGGAGGAAGATGTGTTAGCTCATTTTTAGTTCAATGTTTATTGTATATGTCCAAGAACAGAGTCACTGCTTGTCATCTGATCCCCTCCCTCTTTTCTTTTTTTGGTCTTTTAAGCTTATTATTTTTTTAAATTTTGAACTAATTTTAGCCTTACAGAAAAGTTTTAAAAATACTGCTTTCCATATATCTCTCAACCACCATTTCCTAATTATTAACATCTTAGTGCATTGGTTTTTAACATCCCTGATACATAGTAAGGGAGCTCTGGTTGCATAGTGCCTAAGGCATTTGACTGCTAACTAAGTCAACCAGTGATCAAAACTAGGAATTTGACATTGGTGCAGTGCTATTAATTTTACTAGTTTTTCTACTAATATCCTTTTTCTGAACCAAAAATCTCTCCAGAATTCCATATTGCATTTAGCTTTTATTTTACCTTTGATTCCTGCAGCCTATAACGGTTTCTTAGTCTTCTTGTCTTTCATGACCTTGATACTTTTTGAAGAGTATCAATTAGTTATTTTGTCAAATATCTCACTGTTTGGGTTTCATTGATGTTTCCTCATGATTGGACTGAGGTTCTGCATTTTGGGACAAGAAAGCTCAGAAATGACGCCATGTTTTCAGTATCTCACCTGGCACCCACTTCTTTTGTGCCCATTCATGGGGCTCAGCATTCTGACTCATTTGTAAAATGTTGCTGATGCCAGCTGTATATGAATGTAAGATTTTATATTCCATTATTATTTAACAGTATTCTATTGCTTTAACTGTATTTGTAACACAGGACTCTTATAGCATGGTTATTCTTAGAATTTTTCATAATCTTTTTCTATGGAAGCCAGAAAACTTCTTAAGTTATTTGATTTAGAAAAGGCTTTTATAATTGAGAAGACTTTAGCAATTACTTTTTAGGAGCCAACTCTGCAGCAAGTTAATAATAATAATAAAGCTTTTGAAAGGCTACTGGTGGCTTTCATTGAATTGCTTCAGTTTTGGAAACTACATCTTTTTATATTTGAATGGTGGAATAGGGCAGCTTTATTCATTTGCATTACAAAACCACAATTACTGAGCAAAGGTAGACATTTGAAGGATGAGAGAGTACTTGATTTTATACAAATCATTTATTTCCTAGCAGAGAGCTAAGATTCTTCCTGAGGTTAATTATAAACCACTTTCCTCTGGAATTGTGTACTGATTTCTGTCTGGGCTCACAATTGATGAGATTCCTCTTGTCTTGCAGATGACAGAACGTACCACTTTCAGGCAGAAGATGAGCAGGAATGTCAAATGTAAGTCATTTGGAGGTGGGATTTTAGACAGGAGCTTAACAATTGTTCTTAGGATTTAAAACAACTTTGTTTTTCTAGATGGATGTCTGTGCTGCAAAACAGCAAAGAAGAAGCTTTAAACAATGCATTTAAAGGAGATGACAACACTGGAGAAAATAACATTGTCCAGGAACTGACAAAAGAGATCATCTCTGAAGTCCAGAGGATGACTGGCAATGATGTGTGCTGTGACTGCGGGGCACCAGGTGACCCCGGGGCAACCCAGGCTCTAGGATTTTTAAATCCCATTCCAATTCACAGAATTCATTCATTGATTTTCACTTTCAGTTCAAATACAAAATTAAGTGCAGCTCAGACTGAGTTCATTCCATTACACAAATGCTTAATGAACTGTGTGCAGACTGCTTGGGGTGGAGGGGAAAGGGGTGGGAAGATACTTGCCTGCTAGGCCTTCAGAACAGGACAGAGTGAAGATGGCCTGATGTAACTTAAAAGATTCAGATGCTTTTTGAGAAATGAAAACTGAAGGACACAGTGAGGGTGAAATCAAGGTCATCTACTTATTATGCTGGCTGAGTGGCTGCTTATGGACTTTTTTCCCCTGGGTTTACTCCATCCTCTTTTTGTATTACTTTTCAGAACTTCTGGAGTAACTTTAAGCCACTGTCTAGCTCTGTGGGCCTGGAAGAGTTACTTAATTTTGCTAGTTTTTTTGTATGTAAAATGAAGGGGGTTGGTCTAGGATTTTTTTTCAAGTCCCTTCTAGCTGTCAAATTCTGTGAAATGAGTGTTTATTTTTGCCTTTTGAAAAAAAAAAAATTAGGGGCTACATTTTTAATGAACATAAATATCATTGTAAATTTTCACAACTAGTATTTTAAAAATTTAAGGAATTGATGTCTGCATTCAATTAAAATCAAATGATGTTTGAGCAGATGGGATGGTCAGAGGGAGATGTGGTAGTAGTCTTTTCTGAGCATTTGTAAAATGAGAAATGTGGCTTAGCTAGAACAGTGAGTTACCTTTTGATTCCTCTAGTTCAATGATAGGTGCTCTGGTGGCATAGTGCCTAAGGCATTTGACTGCTAACCAGAAGGCTGGCGGTTCAGATCCACTAGCCATTCCTCGGAAGGAAGATTGGGCAATCTACTTCTGTAGTGATAACCAAAAAAACAAAACTCACTGCCATGGAGTTGGATCCAACACATAACAACCCCTCCTTGGGTTTCTGAGACAGTATCACTACTGAAGTAGATTGCCTAATCTCTCTTCCAAGGAGTGGCTAGTGGGTTTGAACCTCCAGCCCTCTGGTGAGCAGTCAAATGCCTTAGACACTATACCACCAGAGCTCCTATTTAGGCCTCTTTAATATTGGGGGGGCAAGCTGGAGTTTCCATTGGTCCATCTAGCCTGCTCTAGAGCAATGTTAACACCTTTGTCTCAACTCCATTATTGTCCACCATGTTCATCCCATTTCTTGGTAACCATTGAAAAATCTCTGATCTGCTGAGGTAAGTTCTTTCCCCACAGCCTCTTCCTGTTCTTCTATGAATCACTTTTACGTCTCTTCTATCTGTAAGCCCCATGCAGGGAATCTGTGCCAACAGATACAACGTGGTTTCTCAGATTATTGCTGTATTTCTCAGTAGCAAGGTTACATGAGGTGCCCATGTAAATGGGGCTCCCTTGATTACCTTATCTGCCATACCATGTGTAAGGGGCATACTCACTGGGTGAATATCCTGATCATAAAGCATTCCAGCATGGCTTGCATAAGCAACACATTAGCTGCTTTCTCTGGAGTGTTCCAGGGAGTATTTAGAGGTGGAGGGGCGCACTTTTCCTTCTCAGGGTAAACAAATATCACTGCACATTTTATCCAGTCCACCAGGCTGGCTGTCTCATCTGGATTTTAACCTCCTTTATAACTGGGTATTGGATAATCATTCATGACTGTTCCATAGTGAGTTGTGGGTCTCATATCAACCCAAACATACTCTTCCATTCTGTAGCATTCAAAGTTAAAGATATTCCCCCTAAATTAGTCACCCAGACAATCTGTTTTAGTAAAGGTTCCTCAGGAAGCTGATGAAACCATTCTGCAACTCTTTTACACTATACCTGCTGGTTTCACTAGTTTCTTGGTTTTGCCAATTCCCCTGCCAAAATACCTTTTTGGTTGTAGGGGTTTTCCTGTTGTTCCAATACAATTTTTCCTATCTGGGTTGGTCATAGCTCTGGTCTTGGTCCAGTGCTACAACCCGCCCCTACATTCTTCTTCCATGCTTTTGCAGCTTTTATTGGTAACAACAACCAAGGAATTACAAATCTCTGTACTTTCTTTATCACTCTGTATTTCCATATACATGCACCCAGCCAATTCCTCAGAAGTTAGATCTCCCACTTCTAAATCCCATGAAAAGCTTTTGCCTTGGGTAACTAATCCCAACATAGCAGCTGCTTCAATCCATCAGTGTTTTTTTTTTTTATCCTATGGAGAAACCAATGGCTTCTCATTCTCCCGTTTATCCTATACTCTTTTTCCCAAAACCACATATTCCAATGAATCTGGGCCACGGCAGTGAACCCCCCGATTCTGATACCACCTCCTCGAGTAATTTCTTCTAGAAGGATCAACACAAGACTAGTCCTTATGAGGTGGAGATTAATGATGTTCCAGTGTCCAACTTTTCCAAACTGCTATACTACTCCATCATCTCTAACATCAACTCCTCCTCCTCCTCCCTTCAGTACTCTTTCTCCTGTCTTAGGGTTCCGTATTTCACTGTTAACATCTCACAGAAGTCAAACTGGTAAGGAAATGGCTCACATAGTTGTGGAGGCCGGAGGTCTAGCAAGTCCCGAAACCGTGGGTCAGGCATAGATCTGGAGGATTATCCTCCCTCACGTGGCTGCAGGGGCTGTGAACCCAAATAGCAGCTCAGACAATTGCTGCTCTCTCAAGTCTAAGGGTGAGATGATGGAGACTCAAACACAGGATCCAGGACAAAAGAGAGGGACTTTGCCAGGACATTCACAGATAGACCCTTCAAGAAACTATCTGTGGTGACTTGAGTCACACCCTCCAGCAAGATGAGACTCTCCCATTCTAAACAAGCATCAAAAACCGAAACTGAAAATCACTGCCCTGGAGTCAGATCTGACTCATAGCAACCTCTCCTTGGGTTTCCCAGGTGGTATCACTGCGGAAGTAGATTGCGCAGTCTTCCTTCTGAGGAGTGGCTGGTGGGTTTGAACTGCTAGCCTTCTGGTTTGCAGTCAAATGCCTTAAGCACTATGCCACCAGAGCTCGTTACACAAGCATAGAGGCTAGAATTTATAATACGCTACAAAATGACTGTGGCTAGAAGAACTTTGGCTTGAAGTACTGCATTGCACTGTAGTACTTGGGTTTTAAAAATGCCTTCATATAGAAGTCAAAACTATGTCTTTTAAAATGTTAAAACAAGAAAAATGCTAAGATACTATGAGTGATATCAAAACTTGATATAAAATAGTATAAATGTATCCTGTGTACCAACTATAAGTAAGATGTAATAAAATAGGTCTAGTGAAGTGAAAATGAAGGTACCCAGAAGAATTTCCTAACTGGATGAAATTTCTTATGAATTGAACATTCACAATTATCTAGTTACCAAGGTTGGGTTTTTACCTATTTTGAGTTTATAAGGGCAACCAATGATTTTGAGGGGAATTGACCTTATGGCTATGATAATGTGCTCAAGTATGTTTTATTTTGAATTCTCCATTTCTGTAAATTCAACATTCTGATCTCTAACATTTATTGAGTGCTTACTATATGCCAGATGCTGTTAGGCAGTGTGGATACTTCAGTGAACGAGTAATCGTGCTATGAGTAGAAACACTGTGACGTATTGAAAGCGTAGGTTTGAAATGAGATGAACATAGAGCCGCAATATATCTCTGCCACTCGCTTGCAACCTTGAGCAGATCCCTTAACCTGTCTGAGCATTGTGAAGATAGAAAATCTGTGAAGATAGAAAATCTGTGTAACCAAACCAAACCTGTTCTGTTCATCTCATGGGGCTCTTGTGTGGGCCAGATGAGATATTATATGGAAGTGCTTTATAATTTCTGAATCCCTTACAAGTAAACTCTTCTTATTGCTACTACCAAAATGCTAAACAGAGTGTATCATAAATAGTTAATATATGTTGTCTTTTTATTATTGGCACCTTTGTGAAAATATGGATATGTATGTTTTAAATCTCTTTACCTTATGGTATTTGACTTTGGTGTGTCTTGTTTTTTTCTTGTTCTGCTTTGGTGGTGTGACTAGGTTGGTGATAGGTATCATCTGTGTTCAAGACCAGTCCTTAAGGAATTTGTGGTCACTGGAGTACATGGACTGTGTCTTCTTTATTTTTGTACTCACAATACCTGATAATTAGGAGTGCTCAATAAATAAAGGGAAGGGCAGGGAAGTGGAGAGAGACTAGACAGGTTCAGATACATGTACTGTTTCTACGTTGGTGTTAATTAGGGATGAATGGAGGTTCCAACAGTGTCGAGAATAATAATAATAATAAAAAGGTTAGGAAACTCAATGCTCAGTAATTACTCAGAAAAAGATTTTGACCCAAGACCCTCTACGTAATGCAAGCTCAAATTTACCCTGTTCTGTTTGGCAGATCCTACATGGCTTTCCACCAATCTGGGCATTCTGACCTGCATCGAGTGTTCTGGAATCCACCGAGAGCTGGGGGTTCACTACTCCAGGATGCAGTCCCTGACGTTAGATGTATTAGGAACATCTGAGTTGCTGGTAATTTTCAAATCCTTGATTTGGGATCAGAAATAAATGAGCTGAAAACTGTTTTCATTTGGCATTCTCATACATTTTGGTTTCTTGATCTCAGTGGGCTGTTGGTTGTTGATATGTTGCTAGAGAGTTTGAGCAATTAGAAACTCATTGATTATTACACTTTCTTAGTTATTAGTTGAAGGTACTTCTTGTTGCAAAACTTTATCCCTAAATGAATAAAGTGAGTGAAACCAAAAAGAGGCATTGAGACTGGTGTGAGATTCTGCTGAAATGAATTAGAATGCTTACATAGTCCACTTTAGGCCATTCATTAAACAGAAGAAGAACTCAGAAGCTCAAAGATAGGAAAGTGCATCCTCCCTGAGTTAGCAACTCATTCCTTACAAGGCTATGGTCACTTCTTGGCTTAAGCCTCCAATAGACTTTTCCCCTACCCCATATTATCTCCCTTTGAGAGAGAGATTGGTCTTTGCTTTTACTGCCTTTGTTTTAGAAAAATACCCTTTTCTTCATGGTTCAGTATAACACATAAGCCATGTGATAGAGATATTAAGAGATGGAGCTCTGTTAGCACAGTGCCTAAGGCATCTGACTACTAACAAGAAGGTTGGTGGTTCAAACCCACCAGCCACTCCACAGAAGTAAGGCTGGGCAATGTACTTATGTAAAAATTTACCACCTCAGAAACCCAATGAGGGTTGCTAGTCAGAATGTGATAAAGATAAAAGGAGATAGAAACATTTTATGTGAAGCAATGTTCACAGTATTGATACTGTGCTCCCAGTGAGTAACAAATCAGGTTTAAGTCATGCTTTTGGGCCACCTGAAGCATGAGATTTTATAGGCTGTTTTCAAAGCTCATAATTAATGGTTGAAGAAAGTGATGTTTGAAATTCATTCTTAGAGTAGTTGGGGGTTGGACAGTAAATATCAAGTGGATATTGACTACCATTGATTTTAACATCAAGAGCAGTAGGCTTGAGAGAAAATCAATTATTGTGGTCAGTATTCCTCTCAAGGGGCAAGAAATCTTATTGATGGCTACCCTGTATCCAAACTGTCTGAACTTGTAATGCGTTTTGAATTCTCTGGTTGAACTCTCCCAGTCTTTCCAAGGAATTCCTTTATGGCCTTGAAAGAAAAAGTTAGGAGAAAGGAGAGAAGATAACTCATAGTCTAGTTAGTAACATCCCTGATTATGTTAAAAGCTAAACCAGACTGAGCAAGACCTAAGCAGTGTATGCGTGTTTCCATACTGTGGTTATTGTCAGTGTAAAATGTATATAATCTATATCTTTGTAATGGAGGATGGTAAAGATTTGAGATTATCATAAAATATTTTCAGAGAAACTATTTTTCAGTTAACACTGGTGAGCTGTGACAGTTGGTACTTTTTCTTTTTTAACTGATTCTTAAAAGAACGGGAGACTGATTCATGAGGAAAATAGCCGGGTTTTTTAATTATTAATTTTTATTGTGATTTGGGTAGAAGTTTGCAGAGGAAATTCATTTTCCATAAGGCAGTTCATGTACATTTTGTCTCATGGCATTGACTGCAATTCCCCACAATGTAACAGCTCTCTTCCCACTTCGTCCCTCCCTCCCATCCAACACCCCCCACCCCAAGCTATCTCCCTGTGCAAACACTGCCCTTCTGTTCTCCCATGATTGCTCACTACAAGTAGTGTAACTACCTGATGTAAATATGCACCCTATATGCCTGTCTGTTGTTTGGCTGGAAGCAACAGGAGTGAGTTCAGAAAATTGCTATCTTTTACTAGGTACTTTGCAAAGCACTTTATATGTGCTAGCTTATTTGATCTTCACAACAACTCTATGACCTTAGTATATTATCTCCAATTTACAAAGAGGAAACAGATTTAGAATGTTACAATATACTTAAGGTTATATAGCTATTAAGGTACCAAATCTGGGGTATGGAATCTGATTCCAGAGTTCACGTTCTTCTTACCTTTTTAGGAGATTGGGACATAAACTGGCATTTGCAGGGAGTTGTCTTTCCGGATGGTAAACATTTAAATGTTACTATTGTCTTTTCTGGGAGCGCTGGTAGTGTAGTGCCTAAGGCACTTGACTGCTACCAGAAGGCTGGCAGTTCAAACCCGCCAGCCACTCCTGGGAAGGAAGATGGAGCAATCTACTTCCACAGTGATACTGCCTTGGAAACCCAAGGAGGAGTTGCTGTGAGTCGGGTCCAACTCGACGGCACATAACAACAACAACATTGTCTTTCCTGCTCCAACCCTTTACCCTACAGAGTGGTTTGGTAGCAAATGTTTAACTGCCAGCTCTCTGGGAGAAAACGAAGCCCTGATTTGTAGTCTGCTTAGTTCTATGGTATAAATACTCACACCATGGCCAGTTCCAAGTTACCAATGTGGCATTGCTAAGTGTGGAACTGATAAAAGATGTTTAGTAGCTCATCCTTACATAGTATACTTCACCATGTCAGTACAATGGGTGTAAATAACTTCAAGAGCATAGATAAGAGCAAAATAATTGGGATATGATAAGATTTAAGCATTTATTACTTCTGTTTTTAATATAATTTAATTACAGATTTACATAATGTACTTTTAAACAATGACTCTATTTGACAGCTGACTCACAAAATTCCTAAAAATTTAACAGTTGGCTCTTGCAAGGCAGTAGGATAGGAGCCTGACCCTAACACATCTTTGTTAAAACTGCTTTGATGTGTCTCAAAACTTTAATTGATAATCTTCTTGAGACTTTATTGTCTAATAAAGAGGAAAACTTACCAAAGAAGGTTAAAAAGAATGTGTTGTTTCTATCTTGCTGAAAAGATAACTTCTAATTCCTACTTCAAATCTCATTTACTGTCTCCTTGAGCCTCTGACTATGTAGTCCAATAGAAGTTTTAAAGTTTAGCAGCTCTCAGGTATTGTAGAGCTACCAGGCAGAGCCTGCTTAGTTAATGTCTGCAGATATTTATTTTCAAAATCTAATTTCTGCTACAGTTTCAAGCTCTTCCTTACCTAAACTTCTTTTTTTAAAAAATTATTATTTTTTTATTGTGATTTGGGTGAAGATTTACAGAGCAAAATCACTTTCCATACAGCAGTTCACATATACTTTGTCTCATGTCATTGACCACAGCCTAAAACTTCTTTTTATCAGTGGCTTTCCAAAAAAAAAAAAGTGGCAGAAGGTTCCCACCCTCTGCTTGCCTCTGAACTCTGTCTGTCTGGTCTTTTGGTGGCTTTCAGGATGTGGACATCTCCCTACTTCTCAGCTCAATCCCCATTTACTGTGTGCTGGGACTGTGAGCATAATATTATGTCCAAAATCTTTATTCCTCAGTCCCCGGGTTAAACAATAGATGGGAGAGTATGTGTCAGATGTCAGTGTTCTTGTTTTAGAAAAACATAGACATTTCAAGCCTTTTTAAAGCAACTGGGTGGTTTATTTTATTTTGTTTAGACAGTCAGATGTCTAAACAAAGGGTTTCCTGAAGCCTCGATGTGTGCTTGTGTGTGAGCGTGTGTGTGTGTGTGAGATTTAGAATTATGTCTGCACATAGTAAGAACTATGAAGTATTAGCTATTTTTGTTATCTCCTCCTCAGAAATAATTCTAACAAAATTCTTTTGTAAAACAATCCTCATATTCTGTTAATGCTTGCATCTACAGGGAGATCCTTGCACTGGTTGTCTGCTTACAGAATTAAGCAAAAGACTCTTATCATTAGGAATATGGTGAGAACATATGGGAGCACAGGAGAGAGATTTCATGAACTTTTCTGAAACTCCAAAGCATTTCAAATTCACAGGACAGTGATGATACCAGAGTATTCAGTTGATTTGTTCATATTTTTTCTTGTGCAGCAAATGTTAGACCTCTTATTACCCTGCTGGGAGAAATAAAAGGGCAGACTGGAAAATAACTTTTCCAAGATCTCCATGGGTGCAGCCTGCACAAGGGTTGTTTCATGGGAATAATGTTTCTGTCTTTAAGGTAAATCAGTAGTATGGCCCTCATCTCAGGGTGATGTGCTCTGACAGGAAAGGAATTTTTTTAAATGGCCTGAAAGAGATAGCAGATAAATGAGCAGGGCCCGATTTGATGGCATTTTCATTTTCTGTTTGCACTGTGTCCCTACATAGATAAATGCTCAAGCCATAAAATCTCTCTCCTGTGCTCCCATATGTTCTCACCATATTCCTAATGGTAAGAGTCTTTTGCTTAATTCTGTAAGTTATTTTCTGGCCTCAGGTTTTCAAATACTTTGTGTGTGTGTGTGTGCGCGCGCGTGCGTGCACACATGCAGGCGTGAGAAAGTGAGAGAGAGACTGTTTCATCGTTCCCTTTTTGTTTTTGTTTCAAAGCATGCTTGTTTGCCATGCTAATTCAGTGAATTTCAGTAGTTTCCATGAAGGTGGCTGGTTAGTAACAATCTTTTTTCCACTTCACCTGCTTTTAAAATCAGTTCATATTCAATGGAATCAAACTTAGGTAACTAAAGTATTAATTTGATTAATTCTGGGGAGTTACACAGTATTTACTAGTTTAGTGTGCAATGGCTTAATAGCTTCAGATTTTAAAGCATGCCTGCTTTCAGAAAGCTTCCTGGTAAGCATAGATTTTAAAAAGATATTTTTTTCTCCTTAACACAGAAGCTCATGATTTCAACATTGATTTTCAGCTCATATGAAAAACTTAGTGTCCTTGGTACTAGGGACAGAAGTGAAATTAATAAAGGAATGCTTGATCTTATGAAATTGAATTTGGGCAAATAATTTAAAAACCTTCTTCCATCAAACTTGAATAATGAGTTTTAGGCACCTGAGAACTCAAGTTAGTTTCTTGACTTTCTCCTGCCTCCTCTCTGATACAATTGTTAATAAACTGATAGATATTAAAGCAGGCATATAGGAAAGAGAGGGTGTACAAAGAATGTCCTCAAGAAATAAGAATTGACTTTAAAAAAAAAGGGGGACCAGGTTTGCTGGTCTGATA